TGAAAACAGGTCTTTGGAATCAGTCTAGTGATTAGGGGACTGGACAATCTTCCTTACACTATGGTTTATTAACCCTAATTAATGCAGGGGTACTGCAGTCATGTATTATAATGAATTGTGCTCTGTTTATAAGATGACAGTTCAGTTTTCCAGCCATCACCACAACTTCAATTCCTGAAAGAAGAAAAGACATTTGCATCCAGGGTAAAATTCACTGCACTCACAAAAAGCAGGGATATTTAGGCTCTATACAAGTGGAGTGTGGGACAGTCCAGGAGAGGAAATTAACACCTCCAAGCCAGTACCAGGGTGCCTGTATGCTTAAATAGTAGTTGTAGACCTGCAAGCCAGTTACTTCTGGAGCCACATAAATGTGGATTTGAAATCTCTTTTCTCGTCTGCACTTAGTACTACACCAGTGTGGCTACTTGGCTGTCACGGAGAGCCTTCCCACAGCATTCAGGGAGTGCACAGCCACTTCGGTAAAGCCACTCTACAGGGAGATCCTATGTGCAGCTCCTATGGGGGGGATGAGGTGGTAACAGATTTTTCAAAGCAAGGTGAATTGCACCCCCAGAGAAGAAAACAAGAAGCACTAAAGTTCAGTCTTACTTCCATACACCACCCTTAGATAACACATTACACCCCCTATCTTAGCTTTAGCTTCTGATCCATCAAATATAAACACCATAGGCAAGATTCTGGCCACCTGATCCATCTACTGAGGGCTGCATTGGTGGTATAAGGCAGGCAGAAAGCCATTCTATTCAGCTATTCCCCTAGCATAGAGGAATTCCCAGAAGACGTAGAATCTGCATACTTGGCTTTGTGGTGCCTCTTTCCTTCTGGCCACCACATAGGGGGCATATTGGGAGCATAGCAGTGAAGTAATGGCTGGAGTTCTGCTACACTCTGGCAATCCCCTGCTGTAATAGAGCCTGTTAGGGGGACTGTGCAACTGATCATGATTTAGAGCAGCTCTAAATTCTGCTGGGAGAGGGCCCCTCCCCAAAGATTAGGGAAAAGCAACCGTTGATGCTCTGAGCTGGGGCCGAGGGCTTCACAGTGTGGGAGGGGGCTCTGGGCTGAGCCTGGGGCAGGGGGTTGGGGTGCAGGAGGAGGTGAGGGGTGTAAGCTCTAGGGAGGGAGTTTGGCTGCAGGAGGGGGCTCCGGGTTGGGGCAGAGTGCTGGGATGCTGGCTCTGGGAGGGGGCTCAGGACTGGGGCAGAGGCTTGGGGTGCAGTAGGTGGTTCGGAGTGCTGACTCCGGGAGGGGGATTGGGGTGTGGGCTCCCGCCGGGCGGCACTTACCTCAGGCGGCTCCCGGTAGATGGTGTAGCGGGACTTAGGCTCACTTCCTGCCCCAGCCCCATGCCGCTCCCGGAAGGAGCCAATGCTCCTCTGCAGCCCCTGGGGGGGGCCATGTGGCTCCGCGTGCTACCCCTCTCTACTGGCACCGTCCCCCGCAGCTCCCATTGTCCATAGTTCTCTGTTCCCGGCCAATGGGAGCTGCGGAGGCGGGGCTTGCAGGCAGGAGCAGTGTGCGGAGCGCCCGCCCTGGGGCCGCAAGGGCGTGCTGGCTGCTTCTGGGAGCGGTGTGGCGTTGGGGCAGACAGGGAGCATGCCTTAGCTTAGGCCAGTGGTCACCAACCAGTCGATCCTGGAGACTCTCCCAGTCATTTGTGATTTCTAGTGGTTCAGCAGGGCTGCCGCTATCTGCTATAGATTTTCTGTAGAATATGTATTAAGTACCTGTTGCACTAATTGTGCTTCAAAAGTTTATTTTATGAAATTGGAACTCAGTGACTTAGCCACTGATTAATAATAATGATCTGTAAGTATATTTTTAAAATAATACTTACAGATGATTAGTTCTCAGTTTAAGTAATTCACCATATCCATGTTACTTATTAACTATGTCCAATCTATTTCAGTAAAAATATGAAGCTTTATAACTTTAACCAGTAACAACTTCAGGTTTTCGGGAGGCTTCATTATGGATATCAGACAGATAGATAGAAAATGCGTAGGTGTCAGCATGGTCTAGTAGACTCAAGTTCCATTCCTGGCTCTCTCATTGGCCTGCTTGATCTTGAGAGAGTCACTTCATCGCCCCATGCCTCAGTTTCCCCCATCTTTAAAATGAGGATAATGATACTTGCCTCCCCCTGTAAAGTGCTTGAGGTCTACTGATGAAAACACTAAATAAGAGATGGGCATTAATATATTTTCAATGAAACCAAAGAAGAACTTTTTCCTTTGAAAATAATGCCTCTGACTACTTCCCCAATTTTTTTGTAGCTGAGTTGTTTGTAGGGCAGAGCCACTGTTGTATAATTCAAATGGCTGCCTGATCATAGAACAGACACTAATACTTGGCCCGTGTTCAGCATGATACTTTATCACTTGCCTCACTTTCAGTGCAACTTGTCCTATTGAAATCAATGCACTGTTTGACCATGCCAAACTAACTGTCCAGTTAGGTCTTCCCGAACTGGTTGAATCTGTAATGGTATGGGCAACAGTCCTCCAGATGTGGAGAGCAGATGGGAAGTGGAAGGAGAACGTGACTTAAAAAATATAAGTTAGTCTGAGGTGGACCCTGGTGATTGAAAAGTCACTGTAAGATTGTGGTTGCTTGCACTGTGTTTCAGGCCTGAGTCCTGAGATTTAAAAATAAAGAACATATGGGCCTAATTAAAAAGAACAAAGGAAACAGAGTGGGGGAGGTGGAGGGGAACAAATCCAGAAAATAAGAAACAGTTGGACACCCGAATTATAGGCATCTGATTTTTACTAGCTTAATTAAAGACTGCCGAAGAGCTAACCCCACAGCCATTTGGCGGGGTGGGGGAGGCAATGCAGTATATTAATTACACTTTTTTAAAGACTTGTGGTTTTATTGTAATTCTTTTTATCATAGCTTTCCTGATAGCAAAACCTATAGAAAAAGCTTCAATTCAGCTTCCTTTCTAACTCTCTGTTTTCAGTTGCTCATGAGTTCTTCAGTATTCTTCTATTTGGGCTGAAATTTTCCATGTTTATTTTCAGTCGTAAGTTGCATTTTCTTTTGGGAAGGCTTTGGGAAATCACTTCAGCTATTTGAGTTAGGTGAGCAGGGAAAATATACTTTTCTGTATTCTGAAAAATATTTATTTTGTCATGGGTAACTTCATCAATTGTACTTCTCATGTATCTAAAAAGGAACTTTGTAACTTAAGTAACTTTGAATTTTTCTCTTTAAAAAAAAAAGCTACAAGCAATTACAAAATAGTAAACATTTTATTATGTTTTGGTTTAATTGCTTGCAGCACTATAGAGTTGTAAGGGAGGTTTTAACTTGTGTAGTTAAAAATGGTTCTTGCCCTAATTTTTAAAGATAAATTAGATGCAAAAATGTATCCAGATACATCTGCTTATCTGCTACATATCTGGGCTGGCCCTGAGGCCTTAAAAACCCTGTCTCTTTCTTAGCTAGAAGAAAAGGAGTACTTGTGGCACCTTAGAGACTAACCAATTTATTTGAGCATGAGGTTTCGTGAGCTACAGCTCACTTCATCAGATGCATACCGTGGAAACTGCAGTAGACATTATATACACACAGAGACCATGAAACAATACCCCCTCCCACCCCACTGTCCTGCTGGTAATAGCTTATCTAAAGTGATCATCAAGTTGGGCCATTTCCAGCACAAATCCAGGTTTTCTCACCCTCCGCCCCCCCACACACAAACTCAGGCTCCTGCTGGTAATAGCCCATCCATCACAATAGAGAGAGTGGTCACTTTGGATGGGCTATTACCAGCAGGAGCCTGAGTTTGTGTGTGTGTGGGGGGGGGGGGGGGCGGAGGGTGAGAAAACCTGGATTTGTGCTGGAAATGGCCCAACTTGATGATCACTTTAGATAAGCTATTACCAGCAGGACAGTGGGGTGGGAGGGGGTATTGTTTCATGGTCTCTGTGTGTATATAATGTCTACTGCAGTTTCCACGGTATGCATCCGATGAAGTGAGCTGTAGCTCACGAAACCTCATGCTCAAATAAATTGGTTAGTCTCTAAGGTGCCACAAGTACTCCTTTTCTTTTTGCAAAGACAGACTAACACGGCTGTTACTCTGAAACCTTTCTTAGCTAGGGTGATCAAGGATATTCCCACAATGAAAGCCTTGGGGGAGTTTTTCTTCCCAAAGCCTCTTCTCACAAACTCTTTCACCAGAAAGGATATCTGAGTTGAAGGATGCATTGTTCTTTTTACTACACTAAATGGGATTTTTTGTCACTGAAACTAAATTGCTGTTGGTAACGAACTGATGTGAAGCCTGAAAATTTATAGAAGTGAACTAGTAGCAAAAGTCTTGATTTTGTTTGCCACTGAAAACTTGAAGAAAACATTAACGCTAGAGGAGGCATGTTAAAGAAAACAAGAAATAGGAAGCATCTGCAATAAAGAAAAGTTGAAGAGAATCAAGAGAATAAAAGTGTTGGGCAGAATAAGTGGGATGTGATAGAGTGGACAATTAACACTGTCCTTACGCTTCTGGATTGAAAGGTGGTACGTCACACATGAAAATGTATTTAGTGATTATCCAAGTCCATAGTAGTTGTCTAATATTCAGCAATTAAACAGTACAAGGATGGGGCTTGTAGGCAATCCTAAGATATACAAGTTTAACTGTTCTATTGATTAAAGAACTTTGAGATTCCCATGAACTATCACAAACAGGTGCTAAACAGAACCAAATTCTATTCCATTTTTGAAAGTTGTAGCTTAAAGCTAAGTATAAATTGTCAGTGGAACGTATGTGAATACTTGCATTGCAAATACATGTTAAATATGAAAAAATAATAAAACGTGTTAGTCACTTATTTACTGGGGCTTGAATTGGGGGTTCTTTGTTTCCCTTTTATCACCTGATAGTACAAACACCTTAAATAAACACAAGTTGAAAGACCTGTTAATGGTTTTAAGGTTTTCCCTCTTTCTTTTTCTTATAATTGCAGGCGAAACCTTACAAAGCTGTCCCTGATCTTCAGCCACATGCTGGCAGAAATCAAAGCAATCTTTCCTAATGGCCAATTCCAGGGTGACAACTTTCGTATCACAAAAGCAGATGCTGCAGAGTTCTGGAGAAAATTTTTTGGAGACAAGTAAGTATTGCTGGTTAGAAGGATTGTGAATTCTGTCTTATAACATGCATACAGAGAAGTACTGTTTTAAATAATGCAAATAGAATAGATATGTTTTTTTGCCAGAGTTGCCATAATGATTTCGCATTTAGTTTCTTTATGGTTATTTAGTTTCAAGAAGTAAAGGTTGGGTGCAGTAGTTCTCTTCTGTAGGTAAAATACATGTAAAGAAAAATGAACTATGGATGGCGTGAAGGGAAAATTAGGAAGAAAGTTTTGTTTTCCTTTTAGTCTTTCAAATTGTGTTGCTGTAGAAAGTGCAAAACCCATGATACAATTTTTTTTTGTTTTCTTAAAATTAATATGAATTTTGATCCTTTTCTCCAAATCCCATAAACAAGTCCTGTCTGCTTTTCACTTTCCTGTTGGTTTCCATTTCCAGTTTGTCCTTCCGTGTGTTAAGCAAAATTTTAAATTTGGAAAGTAACGTAAGCTAGGACCAAATTTTCAAGCAAGATAGGAATATAAATTACAGTAGTCTCTAATCTGACTAAAACCAGTACTTGTCTCGAAATCCTCTTCTGCTAACCAGTGTAACATTAGAGGCCCCATCCTGAAAACAGCACACTTACTCCTGTCCATAATCCCTTTCATTTCAGTTTAAGGAATTATTTTCACTTTGACCACTGTGTGTTAAATTATTTCATCACTCTTCTACATCTGAGAAATTAAATTTGAAGGTGAATATGAATACTTTGGTTCTGATCCTGCAAACACCTGCAGCTAAATTTGTCAAAATGAGAGAAGATACGTGGGTGGAGGTGAGATGATTTAGGTCCTTGAAGGTGAGGGTAAGAAGCTGCTGTCTTGTCACTCCAGAAATATTTTCTATCCGTCTAGTAAACTAAAAGGCACTTACTCCATACAGTCAGAAAAAGATAGTTTCACCTTAATTAGATACTGGCACTCCAAAGATTGTCTAAACCATATTTTTTAGGTTAATGGATACTCTTGGAGTAGAATAAATACAGTTTATCATTTTTTATGGGCCTTTGCGTCTAGGGTGAATTTTAAGATATATTTAAGATATGCAAAACCACAATGCATTGTATGATGTATGTTGTTCTTGCCTACATGTCCTGCTACAAGAGATTTACCATAGACTGAATTAGGAACTTTAACTGAATCTGATGTTCCCTGCCTATATTGCTACATTTTCAATGAACAAGTTTACTGCCTAACGCATACTCTCAGATTAGTAACGTTTGACTATATTTGGTTTCTTGAATATGTGTGCTACTTTACAAATACGTTAAGATGGAGTCCCTGTACTGAGGACCTTAGAGTCAAACTCTGATATGACATGTGGAATAACAGTTAAAGTGCAGGAATAGATGGAAACAACATATCTGTGTAGATGAGTTCTGGGAGGCTTAATGAAAGAAGCAAGTTTTTAGAAGAATACGCTGTACAAGGAGGGTATTGTGAGCGTACAGGATTGTTTAAAAAACTGGCAACTAAATAGAGCACTTCAAACACAAATTGTAACATTTTAAAAATACTTTGTGGACTTTATGCAGGCTGTAGATGAATGTGATACAGTCTTGTCACGCCTTCATTATCAGTATTTATTACAAAACACTTTTATAATGGCAGGATCAGAAAAAGGTTGGCGAGATTCATAAAGTTTTTTTTGTTTGTGTTTTTGGTTTTTTAAGGTCACAAGGGACCATTATGATCATCTAGTTTGACTTCCTGCATAACACAGGCCATAGCATTTCACCAAGCAATTCCTGAGTCAAGCCTTTAATCTCTACTTGAGCTAAGGCATGTCTTTTAAAAAAGACACCCAGTCTTGATTTAAAACACTTCAAAGGATGGATAGTCCGCTATGGCCCTAGGTAATGGTTCTAGTGTTTAATTACACTTGCTGTTAAATTGCCCCTTACTTCTCATCTGACTTTTGTCTAATTTCAGCTTCCAGCCAGTGGATCTCATTAGGCTTTGCCTGCTAAAATAAATAGTCCTCTATCTGAAATCGTGTCCCCATATAAGTATTTATTTCTGATCAATTCCTGATCAAGCCATCTCTTGATCTTCTTTGTTAAGAGAAGTTTCAGAGTAGCAGCCGTGTTAGTCTGTATTCGCAAAAAGAAAAAGGAGTACTAGTGGCACCTTAGAGACTGACCAATTTATTTGAGCATAAGCTTTCATGAGCTTCAGCTCACTTCATCGGATGCATCTCTAAGGTGCCACTAGTACTCCTTTTTCTTTTTGTTAAGAGAAGTGAACCTGAGCATGTTTTATGCTGCCATTGGCCCTGCTCAAAAGATCTTTCAAAACATCAAGGGTCAGAAAAAAATGTATTTTTTTAAGGATTTTTATTGTCAAAGGCTCAGGGCATGTTACTTAAAATCTCTTGTGATAGAGCACCCTTTTAAAAAAAAAAAAGTCAATTAAAAACACCAAGTTGTAAATATCAAGTTTTTTAAATGCCCACACATCTTCTACTTTTCATTTAGTGTGTCCTTCTTTTCTTAGGTTTCAGAGGAACAGCCGTGTTAGTCTGTATTCGCAAAAAGAAAAGGAGTACTTGTGGCACCTTAGAGACTAACCAATTTATTTGAGCATGAGCTTTCGTGAGCTACAGCTCACTTCATCAGTTATCTTAGTTTCTTAGTTATCTTAGTTATCTTAGTTCTTAGTTATCCTTAGAGTTTGATCCTTGGTCCCTTCCCCTTTTTCGTGCTATCCTTGGGTAACTTTACCTGCTGTTCTGGCTGCAACATCCATTTCTTTGCTGAATACTTACAGATCGCAACCATAAATCTAAATCCAACTCTGAACTTCACCCTTGGCTTGTTCATTTCCTTCTGACCCCTCCTCTTTCTCTGCTTTTCCTGAGCCAGCTGACTTAGTGCCTCTCTTCTCCTTCTTGTCTCTTGTCTTCATACCTCTGTTTGTGCCACACTTTACTGGTGATCTAATTTCTCCATTTAAAAAAAAAAAAAAAACACAAAAAACCACCTTTCCAGGTGGATTCTAATTTCAACTGTAAATTTCTTGGGGCTTGGACCATGTGTGTTATATTTTGCATGGTGTCAAGCATAGACAGACCTCAATAAGTAGTTGCTATTTTTAGTAGGCTGACTTTTTAAGAACCTGCCACTTGCCCATGATTAACAACCTCACTTCTCAGTAGTAAATAGTTAATTTGCGCTCAGCATGCTTGGCATTCACCCAGATTTAGTTAATTGTGTTTAAGTAACTGTAAAGCATGTAACAGCATGAATGTTGAATATATAGATGAGTAAAAGTTATTGTCTTGCATCACCATTTAATCTCTTTATGAAATGAAATGCCTGAAGCCTTTAAGGCATGAATTGTCTTTTAATTCACTGAGTATCACACACTGATATGCCTTTGGGGATCACATCCTTTTAAGGTGGGCGTGTTTTGACAAATTGGTCTGCAAATACTTACTTATCCCTTTCCTAGACATAGTGCATACTTCAAGCTTTAGGGTGTTGGACGAGATGTAATAAATGATGAAATCTCCAGTGTTCATACTGGTAAATATGTTCAATATTGAATTAATTGCTCAAATATAGATAGTATATTCAAACCTGCCTGCTGAAGTTTGGCCCCATAGACATAAATTTAGGTCCCAATTCTGCTATTGGCTCCCTCCTGTCAGATTCCTGTGTCAATGCTGAACCCCACTGAAGTGAATGGGGATCTACATGTGATCAAAATTCTACCTCTAAAAAACAAATGGACAGGATTGGGGCCTTAGAGACTTCAATAAAAGTGATAGGATTTTTCAGGGTTGCTGGCCACCCAAAATCCCATTTAAGTCAGTGGGAGCTCCAGGACCTGTGGAAAAACAGTCCACACATTTAGGTTTCCAAATACAGATTTAAAAGCCTAACTTTAGGCACCTAGGTCTGAAAATTTTGGCCCATATATCCAACTTCAGTAAGGTGCCCTTCAGAACTGTTACAGACATATATGCATTGTAAGCATATTAGTATGTTGCTTCAACTTAGATACAGCTGCCTTGATGGATACTGGTTCATTGACCTTCTGTGTCAAGCTCCTTTTGCATCAGCACTTTTAAATAGAGCACGTTGCGAGTGAGATTCTAATTGCAGAGGGAAAAACTCCAATAACTTCTTGAACAAAAATCTTATTTTTTGTTTAAACAAACTAAGATTTAGGAAAACGGCACTATTCAGAGCAGCACTTATGCACATCTTCATGGTAAGCATCTATTTAATTGCCTTCCTGAATTAGGGCTGTCCGATACATACGAGGGTTCTGGTATGTGCATAATTCATAGAACACCTTATCCAGAGATCTTCTACTCATTTTTACTCAGTCCTTATTCTGAGGACAATGGGAGTTTGCTCAGGTAAACACTAAGTAAATTACCTTGAGATTTGGCTCCTAGAGAAATAATAAGCGGTTAAAATGAGAAACATGGAAATAATTGTTACGTTTTGTGTCCCTGAGCAGAGAGATGCAATTATTTCTTTGTTTATAGCTGATCATGTTATGATTTTTCAGAATACAAATATAAACATTTTCGAGTTTCTCTGAAAAAACAATTGGAAACCATCCCACAATCCCACCTTGTTTTGTAGGGTTTTTTTTTCTGACTAAATTTTGAAATATAAATGAAGCTTTAACAAAAGTCATGATCCATTATGTCCTAGGCCTGCTCTTTAGATTTTTGGGCCTTTTGGGCTTTGTCTAGCAGCAAAGTAAGGGACATGCTGCTTTTTATTTTTTTTAATGTGAATGTACAGTAAATTCTCAAAGATCAATTCCTGGCATCCAGTCTGTGCTGAACACTTATTTTTCTCTTTGACTGCTCTTCCCAAATGAATTGGAAACTTTTTATTTGATTGCTCTATAATCAGTGTTGTTTTTCCAAGAACACGTGTTGCTGCGCTCATTCTTTTACAACCATCAGGGCCGCTACAAATACTTTAAGGCACATTCTGCAGGTTACCAAT